TGGCAAATTCTTCTTCTTCTTCTTCTTTGAGGCGGCTGACTGCACGAAGTGCAGTAGCCGACTTATTGCTTTTCACTCGCTTAGTTGCCATGGCAAATTCTTTCTTCTTCTTCTCCTTCTCAACACGTGAGTCACGATTCAAGTCAGGCACTCATTTGCCGCAACTAAGCATCGTTTCACATTGGGAAAAAGTTTGTTGAGATCGCGAGAACGTGACGAGTGCACATCTGAAATCCATTTTTCGAAATTCCATTCCGTTCGGGAGATAATAAATATATGTAAAATGATAATTAACAGCTGCTAGTTTCCTTATATGGTAATGTATGATTCAACCTGAAACGACCATTAATATCTCAGATGTTAAATGCATATATAATTTAATTATCGTCTTATGTGACTTAAATTCATCCAAGAAAGAGTCTTGACCATTGAAGAAAATCTGGCCATGACTTATATAGAGGAAATGACCAATACGATAATGAACAGCTGAATGTTTCCTTATATGGCGATAGCTGATCACATTCATTATCTCTCACTTGTCAGCTGAGTGAGTACAGCTAAACTCGAGTTAAATTCATTATGATTTTCTCTAGGGATGGCTACGATTTTGAAATAGCAGATGTCATATACACTCCTATTTTGATATTTTTCGGGCTCGTGCAGTCAGCCGCCTTATCTACTCGAGCTTCGATCGAGTGAAGGTCTAGTCTTTATTTGAGTTGATAAGTGAAAAGCTTGAAGCTTCCTCATGGATGAATCAATTTTTTATTCATCAAGAGTTCAAGTTTTTCATTGACTATATGATACCATTTGTTGCCTTTTTCGATTCTTCAGAACATTTTGAGCACTCCAAATAAATAGAAAACTCAAAGAAATTAATAAATAAAATGATTTATTTCTAGATAATTTATTAGGTGCTACAACCAGCTGAAAAGAAGCAGAAGAACACCGCAAAATCAATGGAACATAGAAATAGTATTCTGGGCCAGAAAGTCTTCAGATTTTTTTACGGCTATTTCCTGCCGAAAAGAATAGGAAGTTGGTCGGAAGTTATTGGAAAAATTTCGTAGACTTTACGATCGGTGATACTGCTTTCAAGTTCCATCGATTCTCTGCCGGAAGCAGTCGGTACTTCTTGACCTAGATCAGTCTTTGATCATTCTAGAATAGTTCTTGCATGCTCATGTAAGAGTTCATGAAGAAAAGTTTGTATGTTCTTGCACACGATAATAAAATGCATGTAGACTCAACATTTTGCGAGCAGTTACACATGATTTCTTATGATAATTTAAGAACAATTATATTATTAAATATTTAGATGAACTAATAACATCTCGTTTCTTGGTAATGATCAAGCGAATAAAAATAGTTCATAATTGATCGATCCACCGATGAATAAGATTGATAATACAGTGACATTCATGTTTCTTTGATGCAGATTTTATGTATGATATTAGAATATTTTCTATTGATATTGAAAACAAAATATGAAAAGAAATTTTTTTTAATTTAGAGAACAAATGTTAATTTATAAAGATCATTATAAAAACCCTTTCAAAGACGAGCACTTGTCTCTTTATGGTTGGTATTTTATTTTGCAAATGGTATAAAGAAAAAAAAAACAACTAAAAGAGTTCACTGGTTTTTTTTCAATTGAGTTCTCTCAAACTATAGAAATGTTCGATAGTTATCTAATATGAATCAAAGAATAATCAATACAGATTCCATATTTTTCATTTAGAAGTAAAATTTTTGCTAGAAAGAAATATGAACATTTTGCATCGGACTAGAGCTATTTTACTTCTCATATTGAAAAATTTTTTTGTTGTAAAACGTTGGTTTTTATTTTTCAATTAAAGTAATGATAAAATTTTATATTGTATATAATGAAGTAACGGATGTACTTTCAATATATATGAATCATACAATAGTTAAGCGGATATTTTATATTCATTGTGTCTTTTTTTTTTATAGAAAAGAATAATTTATAAATTAGGAACATCAGACAAGGTAGCATAAGATTATTAATTAAATCAATCATATATTCAAATCTGTATATTAAAATCATCAGTTGTTCCATTGATAAGATTCGATCACTTGATATTTTAGTTTTTATCAATTCGATTAAATATTTCTTCACATAAACAAACAGAAAAGAAAAAATCTATTATAAATAAGTATTTGATATTTTCGCGTATTTTTATAAATACTGCTAAGTGATATAAGCCATATCACTAAGAATTGAAGGTCAAAGCTTAGTATATTATTCATCATTAAAACAAAAAATAATTCATGAAAATAATTTTCTTCACCATTGATTACTTTGATTTCTATTCGAAATCTTTTAAAAATTGTTTCATCTACATATTTCAAATTCTGTAGCACCATCAATCATTCATACTGAATCATTATCCAACTGTTTTTCAGCTGATGTGGGTGGTATAATAACTGATTCATATCTAGCAAAGAGAAGAAGAGAAAAAAAACAAGAAAAAGAACGCAACTGTTTGTTTTTTTTTCTGTTGCGTCGGTTTTTTTTTCTTGTTGACTAATATCGTTCTATAAATACGTTGATTATTACACATAGAGCTACAGTCCAGCGTGGGAGAATTGTTTCTATAAGAAAAAGAATAATGTAGCTTTGCTTTAGATTGATTGTCTTCTTCTAATGTATTTTTGATTTCTATATCACATTACAATTAATAATGAATGATAACGAACAAGATAACTCAACAAATTCATTAACACATAAATTACCAGCAACAGTTTCAAATGAAATCAATTCATCTATGTTGTCTGTTGATATTAATGAACAACAAATCGATGTAAATAATGATTCTAAAGAGAATGAAACTCAAGATCAAATTGAAGAAAACAATGATGATGAATTTATTCGTGTAACAGCAGCACATCAAATACTTAATGAAGGTAATTATAAAATAAAATTTTCTTTTCTTTTTTAAAAATATTTTTCATTTAGCTCAAACAAATGATCAACAAAAAAATTATCCATTAGCACTTCAACTTTATCGTATATGTGTTGATCTTCTTCTTGAAGAATTAATGTTTTCTGAAGGTACAGAACAATCTCGTCGTTATTTACGTGAAAAATGTACAGCTCTTATGGATCATATTGATATACTTAAAACAAAACTTGATTCAATTCCATCACCTGTCACAAATCAAGAATCAACTAATAATCTCCCAGCTGATCAATTAGAATCACTAAATTTATCGTAAAGAAATCTTTTTTTTTATAATTCTTTAGGTAAATTTTCATTTTAATTAACATTCGTGATATATAGTTAAAAATATTTTTCTTTTTTTTTTTTTTTGTTTTTTAAATAATTTATTTCAATCTTTCTCATTTGGCGCATATGTGAATACATTTAATAAAACATTAGCACAACAAAATGAGCAAGAAATAAAATATAAATCAATGATAATTATATATATTTATATGATGGTTAACATGTAGAGATTCTTTCGAGAATAATAACGATAAATAATAAGAAAAACTGAATGGATGGATTACCATATATGTATATGTTTATATCCAATACCCTAACCGTTTGCGTGTTTTGTTTTGAAAGACAGGCGTAGAGAAGACAAAAAAAACACAGGAAGGTCAATCACAACGTTTCCTATCTACCATTGACAATCAATCATCACTGTCACACACACGTATATATTGATATAGAAAGGATCATAAAGAAAGAAAAGAACAATTAACGAAAGAAAAAGAAAAAAAAGAGATATCAAGGTAGACAAGAAGTGATAAAAAAACCGACAAAATATTCTCACAGTTAGGCTTTAAATGTTCCTTTTTTTTTCTTGTATTTTTCTATTGAGCCTTTATAATTTGAGATATAACAATGAAGGTATAGACTTAGTAGTACCAACAAACAGAGCACATTATTATCAATTATTTTTTCACAAGGCTGCCTGAACAGACTGACGCTAAAGAGGAAAAAAGATTAACAAATATTTTAATAAAAATATTTATTTAAAAATAAAAACAAACTTACCCAAATGTTAAGAATATCGGTTACGGTATGTTGTGGATTTAATTTAAAAAGATGAGAAACAAATATTGATGAGATTTGGTCAAAAAACGGATGCCCATCTAAAATATCAATTAGATTATATTAAAAATTACATTGAATTACTTTCTACTAATTATATAAAAGAAAATATTAAACACGATGTTTGATCGGACTTTTGATAATGTACAATATTATCATGTGAATTAGATTTCCATAAGTGTTTAACAAAATACATATGCTATTTACAATGTAATCATCATATCAATTATTCTCTGTTATAAATTATCGTTTTATGTAAAAGAAAAAGTTTCTAGAAGATTAAAGTATGAAATACTACAGATTTGTTTATATTTCACATGAAAAAGATTTTCTCGTCATTATTTTCGCTCTATTGATTTTTACATCCCGTTATGCAAAAAAAACATAAATTAACTATAAACGATTATTGGAAATTACCTATATTTATTACTATAAGTCACATGTAATAATGTCCTGAAAGTTATTAATGATAGACATAAATATCAATCATCGTCTATGTGAAGGTGATATGCGATAAAATTCTCTACTATAGACTTCGATATACAATAATCGATTAGATTCTCCGTTAGTTTGTTATTGGAATTTATAGAAAATTTTTCTTTTACCTGCAAATTCTAATCTTGGCGGCATTGTTTTTGTTAATGATAAAACTTCTGGTGGTTGTTCTGGATAAAATGTTGTTATATGTAAACGAAGTGGTGGTATAAGAGGATTTGATTTTTCAAGTAATTTACATCGAAGTATAATACCATTTTTACTTAAAAATTCATCATCATCATCATCATCATCATCATTATCAATATGTTTTCTTGTGCGTGATACTGATATATATTCAATTGAATAAATATTATCTGGTAATTGATTAATTTCATCATTAAGATTAGATAATAATGATGATTGATTAGATGTACGAATTTTTATTATTGAAGGATTATCAACATCAAGACGTATTATTCTATTTAAATAATAAAATTTATTTTAGAAAAAAAAACCCCCCATGAAATCATTTATACTTATGTGGAACACCATTAATAACATCACTTAATGGTTCAAGATATCGTTTTAATATATTTATTCGATCTTTTTGATCACGTACAAGAAATTCTTTAGTTGCTTTTAAACATTGATTAAATACATTTGTTTGAGAATTTGTTGTAGTAGTCGTAGAATTTGTTGTTGTTGTTGTTGTTGTTGTTGTAGATATTGATGTTGATGAATTATTTACTTGTTGTAATCGATTCTAAAATTTTCTTTTCTTTGATTATTTTAAATAGAAAAAAACAACAACGAATATTTACAGATATTTGATCAAGTATTTCACGCAAACGTTTAGCATGTGGTAAATATTCATATGTTGGATTATTAATGAAATGCAATATTTGTTGATGAACTGATTGAACTTGGCGAACTTTATCGGTATTACCTTTAAAAGAAAATTCATATATTAATATGGATTTTTTTTGTTTTGTAAATTTTGTTGTACCTTCATTGGTAAATTTTTGACATAAAAGTTGTAATCGATTGATATTTTCTTTAAGATATTTTATTAAATTTACTATTTCATCATCAGGACTTGAAATACTACCACTACCTATATAATAAACATTCAATTATGCTTTATTCAAATGAAAAGTTATAATAGAGACTCATTAATTTTACATATACAACAGTTTTCTAAGAATAAGAAATCGACGAGATTTGTAAGATTTTTCGATTCAGTGTTTACATAACATGTGTAGAGAGATGAGGCTATTGATTTCTTTCCTGATCAGAGCAATAAATAGCAATAAAACGAACGTTGAATAATAAATTGCACAAACATCGTCAATATATTATCTCTCACACAAACTAAATTTTCTCAGTAATTCTGAAATTTTTTTCTTTCCAATATAGTATGATCGATTTGACTATCAATTCACTAGAATCAATTCGTATACTAGCGAGGAATCGAATACCCACCATTTGAACTTATATTGTGTCTACAAGTTCGCTTTGATGAGACTAACAAAAGTCAAAAGAAGTTCGTTGTCATGAGTCTTTGAAACCGAGTTATGATCATTGCATTGAATTTTCGACCTGACTTGAGGTATCTGCTGGAAGGTCAAAAAAAAAACAGAATTTCT